CCCCCTCCATGAATGTGCATCCGCACTGCAGGAATAACCTGCTTCCATCCCGCTTTAACTTGCCCCGGCTCCCTGCTATGGAATCCTGGGGTTTGGAGTTGGTTGGGGCACCAGAGCTCTCTGGCAGAAAAGGCTAGATAAGGTCCAAAACACATGGCAGGAATTATAATCCAGTTCCAGATCGCTTTAACTGTCCTGGCTCAATGCTAGGGAATCCTGAGAGCTGTAGTGTGTGTGTGTGTGAGACATTGAGCCTTCTCTGTCAGAGATGCATCCCTGGTCCAAGACACACTGCAAAAATAATCCAGTTTGAGACCGCTTTAACTGCCCTGGCTCTGTGCGAGGGAATCTGGGGTCACAGTCAGCTACAATTCCCAGGATTCCCTAGCACTGAGCCAGGGCAGGTAAAGCAGTCTCAAACTGGATTTTTTGGGCAGTGTGTTTTGAACCAAGGATGCATCCGCCTTGCAGAAATAATTCGGTTTGACACCGCTTTAAGTGCCCTGGCTAATGCTATGGAATCCTGGGATCTGGAGTTTGTTGGGGGCACAGAGCTCTTTGGCAGAGAAGGCTAAATTGTGCATAGTTTATTCATGACAATCATATACTATTTATAGCCATCAAATTGCAATATATATGTGTGTGTGTGTGTGTGTGTGTGTGTGTGTGATTAAAACCTTTTAAAACTTTTACAGTCACAGTTGGCTGTGTAACATATAAAGCAAAACGTTTACACTAAAATTGCAAAAAAGTTTCATACTCAATATATCACAAATGTTACATAATCCGTTCAAATTTAGTATAATCTGTTTATTGCAGATTCCCATGCAGGCCTGACAAAAAAGAAGATAATGGGGGGGGGGGGTGTCTAGTTTTAACAGATCATTTTTGGAGAGCTAGTTTTGCCTAATCCTTTTTGGGGATCTAGTTTTGCCAGATCATCCTGGGGGAGGCATCTCGTTTTGCTAGATCATTCTTGGGGGTCAAAAAGGATCTGGCAAAAAGAAGATCATTCATGGGGGGTCTACTTTTCCCAGATCATTTTGGGGGGAATTAGCCCTCCTTGCCTTGGGGGGTCTCAAGGCCCCCCCTTGTTCTGGGGTCCATGAAGGAAGGATAAGGGAAAGCACCATACAGCTGTGAAGCTAAGAAGAAAACTTCCTATGGCATCCCTAAAGGCGTTGGGGCGGATCAGTGTAGGAAAGGAGAGCAAGAAGGCGATTTGGGAAGGATGGAGGAAAAAAGCCCTTAAAAGCAACCCACGCAGATTTTATTTCCTTATTCAAAAAAAAAAATAGCAAAGGAGAAAGTAACTTCCAAAAGGAAGAAAGAAGGTGGGCGGCTGTGTAAGATCAAGTGGGCAGAAAGATTTCCAGCAGGAAATAAATTATAGATCCGGGTTTCAGCAGCCAAACCAGTCAGAGATTTGCAGTATGCTGCGCTATATAATATAGTAAATATTAGATGTCTTTTGGGGCAATCTCTTAAATGCTGTCTGGCACACAGAGGAGGAAAGGAAAGCAATAAATAGGGCGAAAGTGGATCCAGTGGGTTAAACTGGGATCAAGGCTAGAGAAGCCACTCTCACGTTGGACTGGAGATATTTACTCAAGAATTCAGCCCCATTCCAAAACCGGGATTTACTCCCAGGTAAAGTGTGCCTATGGTTGCCAACACATGCTGGAGTGATATAAATAAGAGCTCCACTTTCCAAGTCCAAATGCTTTAGGATCGCTTCGATCGGATGAGTCCAAAAGTTTGATTTCTCAAGTTCGAGGAGAGGAGTGAGGAAGCCAAACCAAAAATCCATCCATCCAAGCAACAACTCCTAAAATGCACCGGTCTAAGTAACCTTC